TTTATTTAAAAAATTAATTTTAAAATTTTTCTTTAATATAATTTTAAATTTATAGAAAAATATTTACTTTTTCAAAACAATTAGTTTTTAAGCTCCAAACACCCAAGGAGGAAATTTAGCCCCGGAGATTGGTGAGATAAGGTTAGTCTCAAATTGAGTGTTGAAAACCAAACTCATATGATGTTGTTTTTCCCAATCCTATTCCACCTTGATTCTATTAAAACTGTGCATGCTAGGTGATAAGGTAAAAACAAGGTTGAAAGAAGATAATATGGTTATTGATTAAAGAGGTGAAAGTGAGCTAAGTCTGTGATGTTGATAATGTCCCTTCATCTTGCCGAAACATTAATTATATAAATTAAAGCATGCAACAATTATAAATCTTTCAAACAAATGTAAATAATAATTTAAATTAATAAAATCATATTTTAATATAAAAAATTTACCGTTATCGACCTCTCTCATAATTTTGGTTTAACAACATGGTCTTAAAAAAATAAATCAAAGTAGTTAATAAAAAGAAAACAAAAAAAAATAAAAATTGTAATTTTTAGGACCAAAATGAAGAAATAAAAAATATGAGAATCAAAGTGTCAATTGATGAAAGATGAGAGACCGGAACAGCTTTCCAATGAAGCACCAAAATTGCATTTTGGTCCAAAATCTCCGACACGAACTCTGTGTCCACTATACAGTGAAGGTGTCAGTACTGCCTTTGAAGTGTCGACACCCTATGCGATTTTCCGCGAGTCATAGCCTCTCTTTATTTTGGCGCAGGTTGCAGGTCCATATTCTAAACTCTTATATCTAAAATCTTATAAATACTCTTCCATATGAAAATTGATAAGAGCTTTTTGAAGGCTTTTGCCGCCATTTTGGAGCACTCTACAAAACCAAGTTAGAGGCGATAAACAATATAATTAATGGGTAAACATATGTCCAAATATTATCATAAATATTAATAGTTAAAAAATTTTAAAAACTAAAAAAATATATAATTTAGTAAAAAATTTTCAAATTCATTTTATTCTTAAAATAAATTTAGAATACTAATTCTTTTGCCATTTTCATTGATTATTATTAATTCTTATTTATTTCTCAAAAGAACATAACTAACTTCCTTAAAAAAAAAACCTTAAATTCATCCAAACTTACATACTATTGCTTCTATAAATTATATTTAAATCACAACATATTCAAAAAAAAATGAAAGATTGGATTGAGTTGAATATTTGTATTTT